TGACAGCCTGCAGTAATGTTCAACTGACAACCTGCAGTAATGTTCAACTGACAGCCTGCAGTAATGTTCAACTGACAGCCTGCAGTAATGTTCAACTGACAGCCTGTAGTAATGTTCAGCTGACAACCTGCAGTAATGTTCAACTGACAGCCTGCAGTAATGTTCAATTGACAACCTGCAGTAGTGTTCAACTGACAGCCTGCAGTAATATTCAACTGACAGCCTGCAGTAATTTTCAACTGACAGCCTGCAGTAATGTTCAGCTGACAGCCTGCAGTAATGTTCAACTGACAGCCTGCAGTAATGTTCAACTGACAGCCTGCAGTAATGTTCAACTGACAGCCTGCAGTAATGTTCAACTGACAACCTGCAGTAATGTTCAACTGACAGCCTGCAGTAATGTTCAACTGACAGCCTGCAGTAATGTTCAACTGACAACCTGCAGTAATGTTCAACTGACAGCCTGCAGTAATGTTCAGCTGACAACCTGCAGTAATGTTCAGCTGACAACCTGCAGTAATGTTCGACTGACAGCCTGCAGTAATGTTTAACTGAGAGCCTGCAGTAATGTTCAACTGAGAGCCTGCAGTAATGTTCAACTGACAACCTGCAGTAATGTTCAACTGACAGCCTGCAATAATGTTCAGCTGACAACCTGCAGTAATGTTCAACTGACAGCCTGCAGTAATGTTCAAAATGACAGCCTGCAGTAATGTTCAACTGACAGCCTGCAGTAATGTTCAACTGACAACCTGCAGTAATGTTCAACTGACAGCCTGCAGTAATGTTCAACTGACAGCCTGCAGTAATGTTCAACTGACAGCCTGTAGTAATGTTCAGCTGACAACCTGCAGTAATGTTCAACTGACAGCCTGCAGTAATGTTCAACTGACAGTCTGCAGTAATGTTCAACTGACAGCCTGCAGTAATGTTCAATTGACAACCTGCAGTAGTGTTCAACTGACAGCCTGCAGTAATATTCAACTGACAGCCTGCAGTAATGTTCAACTGACAGCCTGCAGTAATGTTCAACTGACAGTCTGCAGTAATGTTCAACTGACAGCCTGCAGTAATGTTCAACTGACAGCCTGCAGTAATATTCAATTGACAACCTGCAGTAGTGTTCAACTGACAGCCTGCAGTAATATTCAACTGACAGCCTGCAGTAATTTTCAACTGACAGCTGCAGTAAGTTCAGCTGACAGCTGCAGTAATGTCAACTGACAGCCTGCAGTAATGTTCAACTGACAGCCTGCAGTAATGTTCAACTGACAGCCTGCAGTAATGTTCAACTGACAACCTGCAGTAATGTTCAACTGACAGCTGCAGTAATGTTCAAATGACAGCCATGCAGTAATGTTCAACTGACAGCCTGCAGTAATGTTCAACTGACAGCCTGCAGTAATGATGTTCAACTGACAACCTGCAGTAATGTTCAACTGACAGCCTGCAGTAATGTTCAACTGACAGCCTGCAGTAATGTTCAACTGACAGCCTGCAGTAATGTTCAACTGACAACCTGCAGTAATGTTCAACTGACAGCCTGCAGTAATGTTCAACTGACAGCCTGCAGTAATGTTCAACTGACAGCCTGCAGTAATGATGTTCAACTGACAACCTGCAGTAATGTTCAACTGACAGCCTGCAGTAATGTTCAACTGACAGCCTGCAGTAATGTTCAACTGACAGTCTGCAGTAATGTTCAACTGACAACCTGCAGTAATGTTCAACTGACAGCCTGCAGTAATGTTCAACTGACAGCCTGCAGTAATGTTCAACTGACAGCCTACAGTGACCTCAAGACAGAAGAGAGCGCGGAAAGTGCAGAGTGCAACGTCCAGCAGACAGCAGAGAGAAACAGGAAGCAAGAAGACCGCAAGCAGAGAGGCAACTGACCAATCACAGAGGAACAAAACCATTCAAGAAGCAGAGACAAGAAGAAAGATGACTCTTAACAAAGAAGTACTAAGCTTGGAGTAAGGCCGATAACCACTTATAATAATAATAATAATAATAATAATAATAATAATAATAATAATAATAATAATAATAATAATAATAATAATATCTTTATTTACAAGTACATGTACAAGGTATACAGGTCTAGCTGACATCAATGACATACTACTATATAGAAGGTCCCTTGTTATGCTGAGCATTTCCCGCAAATTAGGTCAGTGTCCCAGGATGCGACCCACACTAGTCAACTAACACCCAGGTACCTATTTTACTGATGGGTGAACATAGACAACCGGTGTAAGGAGACACGTCCAATGTTTCTACCCTCGTTGGGAATCAAACCCAGACCCCTCAGCGTGTGAAGCGAGAGCTTTAGCCACCAGGCCACGGGGCTCTGTAATAGAGATATTTAAAGTATTTAATGCCTCTTGACAACAAAATAGCATACAAGATCTGAAAGAGAGAGAGAGAGAGAGAGAGAGAGAGAGAGAGAGAGAGAGAGAGAGAGAGAGAGAGAGAGAGAGAGAGAGAGAGAGAGAGAGAGAGAGAGAGAGAGAGAGTAAGAGTCACTGTAACAACAAAGATGGCAGTACTCAGGTGATACAAGTGGATATAAAAGAAACAGCAGGAGTAACTAACACAATACTGTCTCATTATTTTCAAACAATGACTTGAAACAACCAGCAAACATCTTCCTCTAGAGTCTAGAGGACTATGTACCATACGTGTAGCTATGTACCATATGTGTAGCTATGTACCATACGTGTAGCTATGTACCATACGTGTAGCTGTGTACCATACGTGTAGCTGTGTACCATACGTGTAGCTATGTACCATACGTAGTGTACATAGTGAGCTATGTACCATACGTGTAGCTATGTACCATACGTGTAGCTATGTACCATATGTGTAGCTATGTACCATACGTGTAGCTATGTACCATACGTGTAGCTGTGTACCATACGTGTAGCTATGTACCATACGTGTGCATGACATTGTTAGTATGTCCACGTGTAGCTATGTCATACGTGTAGCTATGTACCATTTGTAGTAATATTACCAACGGTGCATGTACATACTGTAGTGTACCATACTGTGTAGCTATTACCAACGTGTAGCTGTGTCATACGTGTAGCTGTGTACCATTACGTGTAGTGTACATACATGTAGCATACCATATTGTGCTATGTACTACGTGAGCTATGTACCATATGTGTACTAGTACCATACCTGTATCCTATGTACCATACTGTGGCTGTTACCACTGTACTATGTACCATACGAGATTCGCAGAGTTGTTTCCGGACAGCGTCGTACAGGGCAATTTAATCTCGGCTAGTATATTTACCGCGAATTGTATGCATTCTTGCAGCACTTATCCGTATTGCATCATGCTAGTGTGCATCATTTGTAGGTCGTCTGCAAGCTACCCTTAGCTGCTTTAAGGCTAACTAACAGAATTTGATACACTCGTCACAACTTAGTCCTCTATCCAACATTGGCTACGCCGCATCTCTACCACGCAAAGATGTTTTTGGTTGGGGTCCTGTCATGTTGACGTCAGCAATGACGGCAACACGTGACGGTCAGTCAGTACATGACTACATGATTTCATAGAGGTGCTTCCATTTACGGATTTTGCTGCAATAGTACCCACCTTCCACGCAGTTGGCAACAACGTTTGTCTGCCTACTGTCACCAACTCATCTATCAAAACCGAGTATAGGTTACTGCCGTCTCTGTCACCAGTCCGGGTGGGAGACTCTCTCTCCCTTTCCTTGCCATACTCGTCTTAGCTCATGGATATCTCATGAAGGCGCCTGCTCCTCTCTGTGAGAATTGTCAGGTTCCATTATCGGTCAGTCACATTCTGTTAGACTGCCCACTTTATCAACAAGCACGCAGAATTTACCTGCAACGTCGTCTTCGCTCCGGTGCTCTCTCTTTACCTTCCCTTCTCGCTGATGGACCCACCTTTCATCCAGACTCTCTCATTGACTTTTTGACAACAACTGACTTACTTCACAAACTCTGATGATACCTTCAGCCCTTTCTACCTCAATCTCTTGCTGCCCTCTACCCTGCACTATCCCCTGTCCCACTGTTTTCTGTAACCTACTGATCGCCCCATCCCCCTCCTGCCGCCCAATACCCGCGCTTCCTTCCCTACCCTGCAGCGCTGTATAGCCCTTGTGGCTTAGCGCTTCTTTTTGATTATAATAATAATATGTACCATACGTGTAGCTATGTACCATACCTGTAGCTATGGCACATAGCTACACGTATGGTACATAGTTATACATGTAACTAAGGTACATAGTTACACATACGTGTAATTACGGGACAGTTACACATACGTGTAATTACGGGACAGTTACACGTACGTGTAACTACGGTACATAGTTACACTTACGTGTAACTACATGTAGCACACTTCACAAAAATGCAATGCACATAACGGGCCCTAAGACCTGGAACTCTTCTCCTGAAGCAGCAAATCAGTTTAGTACCATACTCAAAAATCATCTCATCTCTCAATAACAAACACACCATGATAAACACCAACCAAATTCAAAGCAACTCCTCCAAATACTTTATTATCTCTTAACTATTAAGCCATTAATACAGACTTATAAATGTATGTTTGTACCACGAATTCTACTACCTCATATTAATAATAGAGTAAATGAACTTAATTACGAACTTAAAAATGTATGATTGTATCATATATTGTACTAACTCATATTAATAATTGAGTGAATATTGACCATTTGTATTCTACCACTTCTCATGCCTCGGCATGATGGTGGCTTTCTTTGCTCTAGTTATATTATGATATGTAAACCATACATGTAGCTATGTATCATACACGTAGCTATGTATCATACACGTATCTATGTATCATGCATGTACCTACTTACCGAGGATGCAGCTGGATGGGTGTAAACAAGTACCATGAGAGTAGGTACGTAACACGGATGTAGCTACCTACCATGGATGTGTATAAGTGTCGCAGGCATACCAAGGACAAATATACATACCATGGGCATGGGGTTGCCGTGGGCAGAGCAGTGAAGGGCGGCGCCAGTGGTGTTGAGAAAGGATAGGGAGTGGGGAGGCTCCACCAGGAACTGAGGTCCCTCCTGTACCCCTGCACGGCTCTCTCCTGTCAACAAGAAATTATCATTACAACACTGTTAATACACACACACACATACAAACACACACAGCGGGGCCAGGAGCTGAGTCTCGACCCCTGCAACTACAATTAGGTGAGTACAGCACGGATTCAGGGAAGAAAAATCCTGTGTCACAAACCTACTGGAGTTTTATGACAAAGTAACGGAAGTAAGACACGAGAAAGAGGGGTGGGCAGATTGCATTTTCTTGGACTGCAAGAAGGCCGTCAACACAGTTCCTCATAAGAGATTAGTGCAAAAGCTAAAGGATCAGGCACGCATTTCAGGAAGGACACTGCAATGGATCAGAGAATACTTGACAGGGAGGCAACAACGAGTGATGGTACGTGACGAGGCATCCGAGTGAGCGCCTGTGACGAGCGGGGTTCTACATGGGTCAGTCCTAGGACCAGTGCTACTTTTGGTATACGTGAATGACATGACGGAACTGATAGACTCAGAAGTGTCCCTGTTCGCAGATGATGTGAAGTTAATGAGGAGAATTAAAATCAGATGAGGATCAGGAAGGACTACATAGAGACCTGGACAAGCTGGACACCTAGTCCAGCAACTGGCTCCTCGAATTTAACCCCGCTAAATGCAAAGTCATGAAGATCGGGGAAGGGCAAAGAAGATCGCAGAAAGAGTATAGGCTAGGTAGCCAAAGACTGCAAACCTCACTCAAGGAAAAGGATCTTGGGGTGAGTATAATACCGAGCACATCTCCTGAGGCACACATCAACCAGATAACTGCTGCAACATATGGGCGCCTGGCAAACCTGAGAATAGCGTTCCGATACCTCAGTAAGGAATTGTTCAAGATACTGTATACCGTGTACACCCACATTAGAGTATGCAGCACCTAGAGTATGCAGAGCTAATTTCATTGTAGCTCTGAGGCACCCACACCATCGTATGTCCTCCCAACTTGAAGGAAGCCTAGTTCGCTAGTCTCATGTTGTTTGTACGATTGTATGGTCCAGACTCCAGTGGGTCAGAGCGTTGTGAATTTTCGCTCACCATGAGGCGGGCTAAAACAACACGGGTTCGATCCCCCGGCTAGTCACAGTGTTCTTATATATATACATATAATATATATATATATATATATATATATATATAATATATATATATATATATATATATATATATATATATATATATATATATATATATATATATATATATATACATATATCAAAGGTGGCAAACATTGTAATATAAACACATGCAGTTGCCTGAATAAGTGGTTTAGAAAACTAACAATATTGATAAATAAGACAGCTGCACAACACAAGTGTTGTACAAGTGTCTTGCCAACATGCAGATGCACCTACTCCACTTATCTCATTGCCACCTTTGCATCTTTCCAGCCCACCTGGGCTTGTTAGTGCCACCTTCTGGCATCATTCCTTACATGGCCAGATTATCATAGCTCACTCTGGCATATTCTTACACCTTAGTGGCACTTTCTGTCTCATTGGTCGTCCACTGTGGTAACTTTATCATGACTCTCACCACAGGTTATGTTATCCACCGCTGCACATGTGACTGTTCTATATGTATGGTATACTATACCCACAAGATGAAGAATTAGACACATGTGCAACATCTGGGTAGCTTTATTGTAGACGTTTCGCCATCCAGTGGCTTTATCAATACACCAACTGCAAGGCTGAGGGACTGACTACCTTATCTATTAAATATAGTTCTACAGTCTTCCAGTTCAGTTATGTCCTTGAATTTGTGTTGATAAAGCCCCTGGAGGGCGAAACGTCTCCAATAAAGATATCCAGATGTTTCATATGTGTCTCATTCTTCATTTCTGTTTTTTTTTTTCACTTAAAACGTTTCAGTTATATCTGTTCAATTCAGGAACTGTTTGAACATTTCCGTACTATAGCCAGTGTATGGTGATCCCTCACACTATACACACTATCATCAACAACTGAGTGTATGGTGATCCCTTACACACTACACACTATCAACAACAACTGAGTGTATGGTGATCCCTCACACTATACACACTATCATCAACAACTGAGTGTATGGTGATCCCTCACACACTACACACTATCATCAACATAGGCAGTGTATGGTGATCCCTCACACACTACACACTATCATCAACATAGGCAGTGTATGGTGATCCCTCACACTATACACACTATCATCAACAACTGAGTGTATGGTGATCCCTCACACACTACACACTATCATCAACATAGGCAGTGTATGGTGATCCCTCACACACTACACACTATCATCAACATAGCCAGTGTATGGTGATCCCTCACACACTACACACTATCATCAACATAGCCAGTGTATGGTGATCCCTCACACACTACACACTATCATCAACATAGCCAGTGTATGGTGATCCCTCACACACTACACACTATCATCAACATAGGCAGTGTATGGTGATCCCTCACACACTACACACTATCATCAACATAGGCAGTGTATGGTGATCCCTCACACACTACACACTATCATCAACATAGGCAGTGTATGGTGATCCCTCACACACTACACACTATCATCAACATAGGCAGTGTATGGTGATCCCTCACACACTACACACTATCATCAACATAGCCAGTGTATGGTGATCCCTCACACACTACACACTATCATCAACATAGCCAGTGTATGGTGATCCCTCACACACTACACACTATCATCAACATAGGCAGTGTATGGTGATCCCTCACACACTACACACTATCATCAACATAGGCAGTGTATGGTGATCCCTCACACACTACACACTATCATCAACATAGCCAGTGTATGGTGATCCCTCACACACTACACACTATCATCAACATAGCCAGTGTATGGTGATCCCTCACACACTACACACTATCATCAACATAGCCAGTGTATGGTGATCCCTCACACACTACACACTATCATCAACATAGCCAGTGTATGGTGATCCCTCACACACTACACACTATCATCAACATAGCCAGTGTATGGTGATCCCTCACACACTACACACTATTTATTTATTTATTTATTTATTTATTTATTTATTTATTTATTTATTTAGTAATTTTAGCATACAAACAGAGGTACAAAAAAATACAGATAAGAGCAGCATGCCAAAGCCACTTATACTATGCATAGCATTACGGGCTGGATTAAAATTAACTTAAGATTAACTAAGCAATGATGAAATCAGTGATAATACATTATTGTAAACAGATTACTATAAAGCACAAATGAGTATTACAAAGACAGGTCATATGGTTGCATGCATTGTTGTACTTTCAGTCGAATGGAGTATTCTGTTAGGTAGTGTATTTAAAAAAATAATAAAGTTAGATTGGGTCCTAGGTTTAACATTTGTGTGATATAATTGTGAGTAACATTTTGGATATACAATTTATAAGGTTGAGTTATTCAGTATTTATTTGGTTTTGGGTGAGTAAGTGAACTTTGAGAAGAGACTTGAATTTATAAACAGGTAGTGTTTCTTTTATATTTACAGGTAATGAGTGTATGGTGATCCCTCACATACTACACACTATCATCAGCATAACCAGTGTATGGTGACACTTAACTACACACTATCATCAACAACTGAGTGTATGGTGACACTTCACTACACACTATCAACATAACCAGTGTATGGTGACACTACACATCAACACAACAAGTGTATGGTGACACTTCACTACACACTATCAACATAACCAGTGTATGGTGACACTACACATCAACACAACCAGTGTATGGTGACACTACACATCAACACAACAAGTGTATGGTGACACTTCACTACACACTATCAACATAACCAGTGTATGGTGACACTACACATCAACACAACCAGTATATGGTGACACTTCACTACACACTATCATCAACACAACCAGTGTATGGTGACAACTCACTATACACCATCTCCCCGCTTTACACATAACAGTTCCATAATTGCAACACCAGTGTAGAATGTTACAGAAGTATTGTGAGTTAACTACACAAGTACAGTGTAACGATATGAGAGAGAGAGAGAGAGAGAGAGAGAGAGAGAGAGAGAGAGAGAGAGAGAGAGAGAGAGAGAGAGAGAGAGAGAGAGAGAGAGAGAGAGAGAGAGAGAGCAGTAACCAAGGAGACAGAATCATAGAGCTAACAACAAAGGCTACCTCACCTACCTAACAGAACACAACCTACAATAAACTCCTGGTATATATTTTACAAATTACCCGTAAGTTTGCAAACAATTCATATATTCACTGTAGACACATATAAATCATATGTTTCATAAATGACATAAATCTTATTCCTATTATGTACATATCAGCTGTAAATATTTGAAACAAACACACACATATATACACATATATATACTATGTAATATCCTGCCAAGTGAGTGTACAACAGAAGACTGTATTTGTTTTACAAGATGATAAGATTGCTGGTGTCTTTTTTTCTGTCTCATAAACATGCAAGGTGAGGTACGTCTTGCTACTTCTACTTACACTTAGGTCACACTACACATACATGTACAAACATATATATACACACCCCTCTGGGTTTTCTTCTATTTTTCTTACTAGTTCTTGTTCTTGTTTATTTCCTTTTATCCCCATGGAGAAGTAGAACAGAATTCTTCCTCCGTAAGCCATGCGTGTTGTAAGAAGCTACTAAAATGCCGGGAGCAAGGGGCTAGTAACCTCTTCTCCTTTATTACTAAATTTAAAAAGAGAAACTTTCCTTTCTCTTCAAGTCGTGCCGAATAGGTAAAATTGGTCATTTAGCAAGAACTCATTTAAAATTTAGCCCTTTCTAACATTATCTCTTGTAAGTTTAAAGATATATTTTTTCATTTGTGTTAATGCAAAAATTAATAATTATATATACATATATATATATATATATATATATATATATATATATATATATATATATATATATATATATATATATATATATATATATATATATATGTCGTGCCGAATAGGCAGAA